ATGTTTTGTTAATCGTTGCAATAACAAATGCCGAACTAAAGCTATATATATATATCGAAATTTCACAGAATTGTCGAAAGCTTTGGTCTGCATGGAATCAGGCTTCATAAAGGTAGATGATCTACGGGAGAAGATGGTGGAGAGGATGCAAACCATTGTCAAAGCGGCTCAGGGGTAAGTCTTAGAAGCAAGTTTGTAACAACGAGATTTTAACGTGTACTGTCATCTTGCGCTATTTATTTCACCTTGAAGCATTCGCACTCTCGGTGTGGCGGCATTAACGTTGTGTTACATCGCGCTTGGAATCGTGGAGGCCTATTACATCGAAGGTCCTGGTATTTCGACGTGGGATATAGCCGCGGCATCATTGATTATTTCAGAAGCTGGAGGCGTCGTCGTGGACCGCATAACAGGTTATTATAATAATAAGATTGAAAATAAGATAATTTTTTATAGTTAAAAAGGTTATTATAACTTATACTTATGAAGTTATAATACTTATATAACGCATAAAGTTATTATAACTTATACGATCATACTCTGCATTGTCGTTTAAATTAACAGTCGCAACGGTAATACTAATAATAAAACGTAGCAGCATTTAAAAAAAAAGACCTAAAAATTTCATGAAAAATAACTATAGTGCGTAAGAGCTATTCATTTACGCTTATTTTTATTTATACGACTTTATGTGCCGTGTTCCAATCGCCAATTATCACGTTTTGCATTTCGTCACGCTCCAATGGACCACTATACTGACTAATCCTTCGTTTTTTTTTCTTATTTCAGGTGAACCGATCGATATCATGAAGCCACGTGCGGTAGCCGCGTGCAACGAAGGAATCGCTCGCGATGTTGTTAGGCTCATCCGCGAAGCTGATCACCGTGTAGACATGAGGACAAAATAACGTCAAAAATTTCGACATATACGTAAAAATTAAAAATATACGTTGAAATTAAAAATTTCTTTGTTATGCGATTCAACTGCCTGCAATACCAGTAAACTTCGAATTAAATCATGCAGAAAATAATACGCTTAGTCTTTTCAAAGGAATATTATTAATTAGAAAATGGAATAGAAATATATTACTTGATTTATGTCAACATAAAGTAGACATTAATAAATCCATCTAAACTGAATAAAATTATTTATTTCCTCACAACTTCATGTCCACGATCATGTTTCTATAAACATAGATTTCCTCGGGGCTACAAATAGCTACAATTAAAAAAGATAGGTAATTACATATTAACGCAATAATGGAATATTCTGTAATTATGCTCGCCATTAAAAACATATAAAAAAAGTGATTTGACGATTTTTTCCTCCACTATGTTTATCTAATGATCGCTAAGAACGGGTAAGGGTTTAAAGTTTAAAGCAATCCCCGCAGGGAAAATCCACAGACTAGGATGTGTCACCTAATTATAGAACCTACTGACGAATGCAAGAAGGAGAAAAATATCGCGGTGTTCACGGAAAGTAAAACTGTGATGAGGATATAGACCCCAGATTCGCATGTGCGTAATCAACTACCTTTCAGTCTACGCTCTGACGTCATATCGCGGACGGAATAAAACTTTCGCGATCATCGGCAGTAAGATAAGTTTCGGTCGTTCCTACCTCCAACGTTCATTCGTGCATCCGATCTGGCACGTTAACAGTCGGAGTAGTCTCACGCATATATCAGTCAGCGCCACCGAAAAGACGAGTGCAGTTTACGAAACAGCTGTGTAAGTGTGTAGATTGTGATCATTTTTCATTCGCATACTAGAGGGACAGAAACGATTGGGGAAGATGTGCGAGCTAAATAATTTTGACGAATACTACAGAATCGCTGAAGAATTAGTCTTGTATGCAGGAAAGGTATGTTATTATTCAAAAAAAAAATATGATAAGTGACAAGTACTCACATTTCGAGATAGTGCGATATCTAGATAGATGCTCATAGATAGCTGTCAAGGCACGCGAGATATTATCTTATAAGATTGATTCAATATGGTTAATATTTGTTTAGTAAACAAATGTAAAATTTCAATGCAAATAAGGTAATTGAATTATCAAACATTGTGTTTGAAAGCTGCAGTAATGTTACGTACTGAACGTAATTTTTTCTGTTATAAATTTTCTGATTTGTGAAATTATATTAACTAATTAACCACTATTACACCGTGTAACAGAAATAATTTTTTCTTCACGTATAAATAAAAGAATCGAATTATCAAACACTGTGTTTGAGAGTTTCAGTAATATCACGTATTAGATGTAATTTTTTCAGTTATAAATTTTTTGATTTATAAAATTATATTATTTGCCACTATTACACCGTGTAAAAAGAAATAATTTTTTCTTCACATATACTGTCGGTTAAAAATTTTTTATATAAACGACCATGTGAGCATCCTGACTTTAATTGTGTCTCAATATCATAACATGCATTATACATCAGCAAATGTTCAAACATTAAATAACATTTTTACATTTAAAGCTATTAACTATGTACTTAAGTATGTTGCTATATGTGGCAACTTTATAATGACTTCAATTATTTTGTCTATATTTCATCACAATGCCAACATTAGTTTTTAACTTTGCATTGGTAGACTTGTACAAATATATTCAAATATTTTTCAATTGTTATATATATGATGCAGGGCACATAAATATCTACAGAAGTATAATAATTAAAATTATTTATTATTTAGAAAACCGGCAAAGTATATTTCGCAAATGCATAGGAATTGGTTTATTCATAAACTCTTTTGATTATTTTTGAAGATATAAAAAAGAAATCGAGATTGTGAAACATGAGCTGTTGTTAATACTTTTCATATAGAAAGGTTCTCTGTTCGTCAAATAGCAAAGAAAATGCAGATTCCAATAGTTCAAGATATCAATAAATGTTTTCGCGAGACGAATGTCAATTTTAATAGTGTAAAAAAACTTTTAATTAACAGTACGAAAAAATCAAAATATCATTTAAAGATAAAATCTATCACAGATGTATCGTTTCATGATATTAAGTTGTGTTTTTATGCACGTTTAAAGTTTTTAGAGGAGATTTTTGGCCGCAATACAAGATAAAATTATACAATTATCAGAAAATGTGTGTTTTCATGTAAAATTGGTAGCTAAATTTAAAAATAATAAAATTAAAACTTGAAATAGAAAAAAATGAAAAAAAAAAAATATTTTTAGTCAGTCTAAATTTTTTTTTTAATGTTATCTTTTTCATTAATATTCACAAAAAAATGTGGAAAGAACGAAAAAAGAAGAAATGTGAGTGAGTTTCAATTAAAAAAATATTTTTTTCTATTATATTTTTTTGCTCCAATCTTTAATTTTATCGTTTCTCGATTCAGTAACCAATTTTATATAGAAATACATGATTTTTAGACAAAATTTAAAGCTAAACTATAAAGACATGCAATACAAAAAAAAAATTAGAAAAAATGGTAACAAATTGTGGTATTATTGCTAAAGAAAATCACAAAAAATTCCAAATTGTCATAAATAAAACTCGATTATGGAATAATGTTCGTAAATAATAGTTAATAATTTTCACTAATAAAAAAAGCGATCTCGAATACAAGAATTTACACAAAATATATTGAAAGAGAATTTCATTTTTTGTAGATAATAGAAGATGGAATCAATAGCAGAAAGAATATCAAAAGTAAGGGAATTGACTGGGACCTTGTTACAGAATATGATCGCAAAATAGAGGATAAATTAATAAAACAATTGTCGATACAATTTCCATCGCACAAGTAAGTTATTATTTTCTAAATTCTTTGAAGTGGAATCTCACTTTAAAAAGTGAAAATTGAGCCAGTCTTGAAAAAAAGTGGCTCAATTTTCAATCTTAAGAATGAGATTTCACTTTTTAGAGTGACAATTCACTCTAAACGGTTTAGAGAGTGTGATTAATGGTCAACTGCTAACAACAAGTCAGTAACAAGGTGGCTGTAACGAGATTTAATCTTTCAGGTTTATTGGAGAAGAAACAGCAGCAAAGGAAGGCTGTCTACCTCAACTAACCAATGACCCTACGTGGATAATAGACCCGATAGACGGTACTACCAACTTTGTACACCGTTTCCCACATACATGCATCTCCTTAGCGCTACTAGTAAACAAAAAGGTGGAAATCGGGATAATATACAATCCTCTTATGGGACAATTCTTTTCGGCGAGGAGACATTGCGGTGCCTTCCTTAATGGGAAGCCCATAAAAACTTCTGACATGAGAGGTAAGTAGCTCTATACACTTAAAATATATTCATGTTCGAAACATGCACACAATAGCAGGATTCATGAAGCATATAATACCATAGACACACATCAATCTAATTTATTACACGTGTTACTATATCATGGTGGCCTTGCTAAAAATGAGTGTAAGAAATTTATTATTTTACGGTCCAGTGGAAGGTTATCCAATATTCATTAAAATCGCAGACTGAGCAATTTTAATAGACATCAGAGTTAATGTTGTGTCCTTCATAAAGCAATTACTTTAAAACGTGGTGGTATAGCTACAATCTGTTTGTTTGCTTTATCCATTCAAATAATTACTTCACTTTCACACGTAAGAAATACTTAAAAAATATATATATAGTTATATATAATATGTCTATTCTTTCCAGACATATCTCAATCATTAGTTGCTATGGAGCCATGGCTCGCAAAGGATCCTCAGTATTTAGCTAGTGTGTATAGTAGAATGCACGCTTTAGTACAAGGAACTCATGGGTAATATATTTTTTAAAGATATTTTAAAATATTCTTTAAGATATTTTAAATATGTAATAATATTGTATATATATATATCAATTAGTTCAAAAACTATTAATAATAAATTGCTTCTCTTTCAGAATAAGGTCATTAGGTACAGCAGCACTCACGTTGTGCTACGTAGCAATGGGAGCTGTCGAGGCATATCATATTGAAGGTATCGATGCTTGGGATGTTGCAGCAGGAAAATTAATAATCGAAGAAGCAGGTGGAGTTGTGATAGATACCGATGGTAAATATGGACTCTTTTATCATTAACACTTAATCTCACATTATTACAAATTTATTTTTCCATTTAGTCCAACTTCGAAACTTTCAGTAAATCTTATTTTATTGTAAAAAAAAATTCTGTTAATATAAAAAATTATTATTTACAGGGGGAGAACTAGATCTAATGACTCCGAAGGTTATAGCGGCATGCAATCAGCAAATTGCACAGCAGCTTGTAGATCTTATTAAGAAAGCCGATTGCGAGATACTTAATAAAAATTTAAATTAATTATGCTAATATTATATGCAGTGCTCATTAAATGTCATATTATATAACAACGCATATACATGCAGACTTAAAAACACAGTATTACTAAACGTGACTTAAGGCTGCTAAATTAGATTTACAAAAGATTATATTTTTAGGACTGATATAGCTCATACTTTTCTCTGCACTGATAGTTACTATATATTTCAGTAATAGTATTAAAAAAAAAATTAATAAGTGTTCACAATATTAATAATAAATAAAAATTGTATTTGTAAATGGACTTTCAATTTTTAATGCAATCAATGCCATAATAAAGAGATTTCTCTCCTATCTCATAACCTGTATTTATACATACCCAACTATTACAAATAATAATAAAGAATTCAGTCACTCGCACAACACTAAATTAGTATACATTAAAAAAAAACTGCTTTATATAAAGTATCTAAATACAGTGGCATAATCTAATGAATTTTGATAATGAAATAATACATATACACTCTGTTAAATAACATGACAAAATCATTGAATATTTAAATATTTATACTTCCATTGACTACATAAAATTTTGCATCTTTCGTCAGCAGACTTCGATGTTTGAACTTCAGTATAGATTTTTATATTGTTCCAGATTGTATAAAAATCTAAAAAAAATTCTTACATATTTGTGAAAACTTTAACAATGTACTTTTATTATTATAGAAATTCGATTGTTATTTTTTTACATATTTAAATTTATTTACTAGACTTCACAATTGAAATATCGACTATACCTTCAAAGTCTTATCTGACCAATAAAGAATTAAAATATTTATATGCTTTATATGCTATATTTAACTTTTCTAATTTCATGCATAATAGCTTTTAACATGCATTGATTTAGTGCAATGCAAGTCATCAAATTCTGCTATAACTAAAGTCCGATTTTCCATTTTCTGATTAATTTGCGGTTAGGCTTAACCTGATGTGTTATCCAATAAATTTCATCTATAATGATATCATGATAAAATATAAAGTAAAATTTAATCACAAGTTAACCAAATAATAAAAAATTGGGCTTAAGAAAAGAGCATAGATATAGTTATCACGATAATCATACCTGTGGACCCATATTAGGTGGCATTTGCTGTGGATGGGGTGGATAACTCTGTTGTTGGGGTGGCGGTTGTTGTGGTGGTTGCGACATGGGTGGTCCACCTGGAGGTATGGGTGGGCCACCTTGATAACCCTGGGTCGGACTATGAGGATGATGCTGCGGCGGTCCCATTGGACTACCTTGTGCATTAGATGGGGATGGTGCCTGTTGTGGAGGTCCCATGGGACTAGGTGCTTGTGGTGGTGGCATAGGCGAAGATTGTGGCGAAGGACTCGCCATATTATTATGTTCAAAAGGTTCCAGTTTATCTGAGGCTTACTTCCTGAAAATATTACAACAAAATACAAATGTAAGAACCAGTTCTAAATTCTTTCATGACTACCTATTTCAAAAATTTCTATTATCTCTTCTACTTCAAAGAATTTGGAGAATAGATTAGTACACAATAAAGTAGCTGCTATACAACACACACACACACACACACTAAAAATTAGCAAAGTTAAATGTAAATGCATATACATATTGTGAACAATTAAATACCCAAGAATGATACTGTTACATTATTTAGCAAATATTATTTCATTGTCAAAGTTGATTATATTATGCCACTGCATTTAAATACATACAGCAGCCTTTAATGTGCACTAATCCATTTCACTGTAGCGCAAGTGATTGAATTCACCATTAATTATGTGCGCAAAGTGCAACTATACAATTCAAATATTTCAAATAGATGCGATAATCAGATAGATGAGATAATCTCTCATTTAAAAAATACCAACTCAGGAGAGTTCAAGAGAGTTTTTGTATCCGAGAGGCCTACAAGAACATATTCTACCTCTCTCTTTTCTTCTATATCTATCTCTTTTTCATCTCTCGATGCCGAAGACGGAACTGTATTAAACTCGAAAAGAGCAAGCAGGATAACGCAACGCGCTCGAGAACACTGTGTTTATCGCTCTTCCAACTCATCTCACGGCAAAATACGGTTTCATAATTAGAAACGAAGCCAGAAGGTAAACCGGAGTTGACGAAGCACGGTGTTCTTCACGGTGCGCGTATCCCGTTGCCAACGGTGCCGCCCATCTCAGGACTCTACGTACCGTTCCGGGTTCCACGTTATCACAACGGACACCCTGGAATCATTTCCGCGTATGTCACTGCACGTGTATACTTCTTATCAGAGATACGAGAACACACGAGATCTATGCTGTGCCGAACGACTCCGAGAAACGAACGCTATCGGCCATATTTCCATTCTCTCACCGAGTCGCCGTAGCGGCGGCGTGAGATTCGCCAGCCAATCGAACATGGCGATTGCAACGCTTCCGCAGCGCACCACAGTGAGTCGAGAAATGGTTGGTTCGCACGAACAAACGCGAACGACGCGAACCAAGTATTAATGGAAAATGGAATATTCCTCAATAAAAATATCCGTCGCGATACACGCATATTTTCGCATGGATTTCGAGCGAAACAGCGTTGATTAAATAACCGACAAATTGATTTTCTTTACGAATATAAGAAACGATAAGTCGACCGACAGTTAAATTCAATAATCCCGGGAAAAAATGATTCATATAATAATTATATTTAATTATACAAAATTAAATAAAATTATATATATGTAAAATTGACATAATTTATGTACAATTATATATAAAATATGTCCATATATATAACATTTTTTTTCTCGGGATCATAATATTCGTAATAAAAGTGCAGCTGTTAAAACACGACATGGTTTATCGAACTGTCCTGTAGACAATACGTGTATTCGTGCATCCTCAAAACATTCCAACGAAAAATGATTCATTGAATCGATATTGATTTGACACTGAATTGATAATTTCCCATCAATTTGACATCAAATTGACGGTCATTTCTTACTGAGATCTATTCAAATTTGAAGTACAAGATGGAGTAGAAAGTGTAGAAACTACAAAGATTTTAGAACGCACTCCAGAATAACAAAATGGCTCTAACCAGAGAGTTTGGTAGGTTGTCAATTCAACTGTTGAAAAACAAAGGGTGTTTGTACACTGCAGTGAGATGTTCTTCCGACAAACGTAAGTAATTATGCATGTCCTTTTCAATTTGTTTCTCATCATATTTTATATAAATAAAGCTGCTGCTCCACTAAGTACTGTGAGGTTAGGATTGCTGTTATTATATAATTAAATTATTATATTGTTATTACTATTGTTATTATTATTATTTGTTATTGTAAATTATTGTTTTATATTCATTGAAATACACAGTGAAATCTAGCATACAGATGCTAGATTGGAAAAATATATAAAAACATGTTGAATATTGAAAGATTTGTCTTGTAATAATTATTATGTAGCGAGGATGAAACTGATCGATGCTGTGTTTGTCATCAGCGCTTCCATGGAACTACCTCTGGCAGCCAAAAAAATATTCAGAAAAGGACCATGACAAGATTGCCGAGAAATATCAGTTGCATCCTAAGGATTATGAAATTAATCCTCCTGAGTCATGCCTTGGTGATTATCCGAAACTACCCATGGTAGGACCAGCTGCTAAAGACCCATACTATCCGTATGACATACCGATATTTAGGAAAAATTATCATGAAACGGTGAGTTTGCATATATAAAAGATTTCTGAAATTTGTTTATCATCTTATATATATATATATCTTTTGTTTTCTCCTTTTAGATGCACGCTAATTTTGAAATTATGGGTGAAGATCGTTTCAGTTATGGCTATAAATACAGAATTAATCCATATTTGGCATCTGCAATATGGCTTGCAACTATGATTGGTTTAGCTGGAATTACTTACTTGGTAAATCCTTATCCGAGTGTTCAAATAAGGGTCAGTACTCCAAATATTTTTTATATCAATGACTACATTCAGCAGAGAAAACTAATCAATGATTGATTTAATTAGATATTTTAATACTCTAGCAATATATGTTTCAGATGGAGAAACAATTTCCCAAGAAGGATGTAGTACACTATTCATTTGAACCAGCAGATTCGTGAAAATAGGATGAGTAGCCTCGAGTAAATATAATAGATATATATATA